GCCAGGGACAGCAGTGCCATCACCACAGCTCCAGGGACAGCAGTGCCCACCATAAGGGTGAGGCGCTGCCAAGCTTGACACCATCCAGTGTCCTGGTCACAAACCATGAACTTGGTGCTTCATGAGCATAAAAGTACCAGGACAGGTAAAACAAGAGTGAAATCGCTAAAGGGAAAATCAGCACGGCTGGGGTGCCCTAAGACATGAGCAGGTCTGCCCCATGAGATGGAGGGCAGAAGGTGTCCAGGCACTCTTAGGGCAGTGGAACTGCCCAGGACAGCCCCTCCAGTCTCAGTAACAACAGATGCTCTGATCCATACAGCTCTGAGGACTTGGAAGGTACCATTCCTGCAGCTGTAGAGACCAGAATTCCCATGATGGGAATTCCTCCCAATTTCTGGATCCCTCTGGGTGCCCTCACGACTATGAAGAGCCACGTGGGACTGGGAAGAGCTGCTGGGGGTGGCAGCTACTGCCTGATGCCCCCTGTCCCCACCTCAGCCCCTGTAAAAACACTGATGAGCTGACAAAGTGCTCACCAGCAGCTCCTGGGTGATGTGAGGAGTGAATCTGCTGAGGGCTGGCTCACTCACTGAGCCTGGGGTGATGAACTGTGGTTACTGCTGCCACTCAGGGATGGGGACACTGGGGACAACCCATCCTTGCTCAGACCACCTTGCCCAGCTCCACACGGCCCCCAGCATGGGAGATCCATGGTTTTGGGAGTGCTGGACAGTGGGAGCTCTCCCCACAAGCAGCACCAAGCACCCAGCATGCCAGTCAGTCCCTGCCAGCTCTGCTGCAGCTGCCCACAGGCTCTCGGTGGCCATGGATGCAAGGAGGCACAGGCAGTGGAAGTGGCAGAGCTGAGGCAGCCCTGCAGTCCAAACAAAACGCCCTCCTTACGTAAGAAACCACAGCCCTGGGCTGTGCCAGCAGCATAAAGCGCCTCTTTGTGCCTCACACCCGCTGCCTGTCCCACACGGACCATCCCTGACAGGACCCACAGCCAGCAGCCCCCTCCCCTCCCAGCTGGGACCCTCAAAGCCTCGGGCACCACACACACTGCTGGCTCCACAGGGAACACTGCCCCGAGGATGAGAGGGAGCCTTTGGGCACTGGAATCACTCAGAACTCCTTCCAGCCCTCTCCAGCCCCTGGGACAGACTCCCAGTTGTGTGAGGGATGCCTTTGAGCCGCCACACCTGGGGCAGATGTTGAGACACAGAGATCTGAGCACAGCAAATCGCTCGGGATCCCCACATGAACCCAAGTGTCTGTCAGAGCCCAGAACGAGCAGGGAGGCTGGGGCCACCCTCCAGAGTGCTCCCCACGCTCCCAGGGAAGGAAGGAGACACTCAGAGAACAGGGCAGGGCTGGGGAGGGACGTGCCTGGCAGTTCTGCAGGGGACTTTGCTCCTAGAGCAGGAGCCACCCCCATGGGCCTGCAGTGCTCTCACAGCCAGCCCAGCAAGGGGCTCTCCTGCAGCCCCATCTCCCAAGCTGGGCCCCAAACCACCAGTCAGAATAATTCCGTGGTGAGGGGAGCCCGCCAAAAACCAGCCTCCCTGGATCAGGGCTCAGGAGAGCTCCAGCAGCTCATTTACACCACCCCAGGGACACAGTGCTGTGCAATCCAGTTCAGCAAACCCCCGTTAGCCCAGGACCTGCTCTGGCAGCTCCCTGGAAGGGCTCACACCGTGGAGACCTCAATGCATTCAACTCTCTGCTGTCCTTCACCTGGGAAGCCCCTGATCTCTGCTCTCCCCTGCCCAGGCCAGCACAGCACAAGCACAGCTCGTATTGCCCTTTTTGCCCCTACAGATCCCACAGCCAGCAAAGAAGGTGCTAATCAAAGGTGTCTCCAGAGACCCAGATTCCAGGAGCTCAGCCTGGAGAACCCTCAGTACCCCTTCAATGTTCCTCTCCATCCAGCTCCCAAAGCTTTATCCTCCTCCCTGCTCTGACACACCCATTCTCTGGTGTGAGCTCCACAGGAGATGGGCAAGGAGGACAGGGCCACCTTTCCATGTGGCTGGGTCAGGTAAACCCAGCCTGGTGTGTCTCAGAAAGCAGTGCCCACAGCCCCCAGAACCCAGAGCTATCTGCAGGCTTCCCCACCCACAAAGAAACAACAGCCTGTTTCCAACCCCAGGTGGGGAGAAGGAGACCTTCAGTCTACCTGGTAGGAGCAGAAAGGGCCATAAGCTGTGGCTGGAATAAAGGCCTTTTTGAGAGCACTGGACTTTTCCAGCTGCCTGGAAACAGGAAGCGCCCAGGCCAGGAGAACAGAAACCCTCACACTGGTGCATAAAGGCACAGTGAGCCGTTAACCCTAATTACCTGTGACTGACACGCGAGCGGGGCCTGACCTTCCAGGCATCGCCCCAGCCAAAGCAAAACAAACAGCTCCCTTCATCCCCAGCACAGCCCGTTCCAGCCCCGCCCAGAATGCTCTGACACACGGGGAGAACGGTGCAGCTGCAGCACGGGGGGCTGAGCCCAGACCCCAACTGCTGCCCCCACCCCCAGCCAGCAGCTCCCACTCCCCTCCAGCCCTTCCCAACGTCCCCTGGAGGAGGAGGAGGATGAGCAGCATCTGCACCAGGGAGAATGAGCACCACAACTCGAGGGTCCCGTCCCCAGCAGTGGCCAATGCCTCTGTGGTGTCCCCAGAGCATGTCTGTGCTCTCCTGCTCAGTGGGAGCTCCCTCAAAATCCACACTCAGTCTCCTGGGTGTTTCCCTCTGACTGACCCCTTGAGAGCAGAGGGCTCTGCTGCTCCACAGGCAGAGATGGCACCCCAAACTGTTCAGTGCCCCAAACACCCAGTGGGCACAGGCCAGACCCCAGCCCAGAGTCCTCGGCAGCAGGCAGGACAGGGAGCACCAGCTGTGCCAGGCAAGGGGCACAGGATCCCCAGCACCTGCCCCAGGCCCTCCCTGTTCCACTGAGCACCAGCATCTCCAGCAGCTTCTGGGGCAGCTCTTTTCCC